CTGATCCGGCCTCTTGGTTCTTATTTCAAACCTCCATGATCTGTTCCCGTACTTATTGGCTATTATATACCAAAATACCGTTACTTCATTATCAATCTTTTAACTCGAATCTCATTGTAAATCATATCATAATTTACATCTCATCTTTAGTCTTTTATGATCATATCATCACTCAAACTTCATCTTTACTTCTTCATCTTTATGATCATAACTTGACTATTATTCTCATGGTTTTACTCATAATGTTCAATTCATACTCTTGATCTAGTTAACTTGATAAACTAGATTTCCAACTTCAATAATTGAACATATAAACCATTTCTATAGTTCGTATATCTGAATTCTTATTGAGCATAGACTTAGTAAATTTGAATATATTGAAAAACTTGAATAAAACTTTTAACAGCACTTACCTGGTAGTCGACGAGGTGTGAGCGTAGTGTGGTCGGGTTTTCTTGAAACTTCTTGTCAAAACTTTGTCTTTTCTGAAAACTTTCTCTTTCAGAACTTAAACTTTTAGTATACAGAGCTCTTAAAACTCTAGCTCTGATACCACCTGTAACACCCCGCTTATCAGAGTAAATTTTTCGCAACTTTTACTTCGAAAATACTCATATCTCTTTCGAAATCTTTTGCGACTAGTTCGGGATGCTACTCAACCTTACATCTTGAAAATCCATTTATCTTTAAACTCTTGTCTAATAACTCTTTTAGACATAATTAAATAGATTTTCTTTAAACTTGCATTTAACCATATTCATACTTCTCTAAATGTTAAAAACTTCAAATCATAACTTCATTTAAAAATGCAAGTTCAATCATCATATTGCGTAGCGGATAAATAAATCAAAGTATACTTTTAGAACGTAGTTAATTATACAGACTGGTTTAAATGTCCGTATCAAAGCTTGTCTTCATCTGAATCCACGATCCACACCAACACTGCTCCACTCACACCTCCTCTTCAACCTGTTACCTGAAACTAAAACTCATGGGGGTGAGTAACGATAAAGATCATCATATACCGATATCTGATCGGTAACCAGAAATCTATTCTGGTACATAAACTCAAACTTTTCTCTTTCTCTTCTTGATTAAGTACATGTGCACACTCTAATGGATATTTCTCAAGGCAACTCAACGGCCTCCATTAGAACTTAGGAAATACTCGTAAGGCAACTCAGCGGCCTTCTTCCCAAGCGTATAATCAATACTTAGGATATACTCCGAGACAACTCATGGTCTCCTCATCCCATCTCTATCGATATCGTACTCAATGTGATACCCGTTCAGGGTCCCCACCTTTTTGTCTTTGAAATCATTTGTAAATCGATAAGTGCTGTGCTGTAACGAAATCTGCAAGTTACATCAAATATAAACAAATATACTAAGTACTATGCTCATATACTCAATAAGATTTTAGGATTCTTAACTCATCCAATCTTATAGAAATTCATCAACATGCTCTTTCTCAAGTTAACTTTTCTTCAAGTTCAATTACTTAACCTTATAAATCATGTCTTCATAAACATCAATATGATATTAAACTTATCATATTTTAACTCAAATGTGAAAATAACTATACTTCACATTTATACTTGATTAAATATTTAAACATCATCATCATCAAGATATATAAATTCATCTTGATCTTTAACTCAATCAAGTACTTAATCCATCATACATCTCATCTCTTAATTTATCACTTTTCACTTAAATAACTCAAAAGTGAAATAAACTCAATTATAATCATCTTCCAAATCATCACTTTTAATCATAATATTAATATGTCATACTTAATACAATTTTTATAAAATTGTATACTCAACATATTAAATCAAACTTCATCAATTTGCTCATCACTCATATGAGAATAGATCATAAAAATCTCATTTTAACATCTTGATCATCTCATGAATATTCTTGCATATATATACTCATCTTCACATATATGCCATCTCATATTCATAACTCATTCATTTCTCATCTTTAAATTATGAAATTTAACAGTCATAATCTCAACTTCTAAATAGACATGTCATCAAAATTTCATAATTTAATCATTCATATTCATCAAGTTATGAGAATTTAAAGTCATAGTGAACATAAACTTCATCTTACATGTTCATCTTCAAAAATTCATAACTTAAGTTATACTATGCCAAATCACTAAATTCTTGATCTCATGTACTCCTCTTTTACACAAGAATTATTCATTTAAATCATACTTTTCCAGCATATTCATATCTTCATGAAAATCTCATGCAAATCAACATCTCATTTCATTAAGCACATATATCACATAATTGATCTTTAACATCTTTAACTCATTTTATCAATTATAAACTCCAACTTCTACATCATGATATACATACTCATAAACATGTAAACTTATCATAAAAGCATGAACTCAAATATGAAACATTAAGATAAGTAAATTACCTCCTTCTAGGTGAAGTTAAAAACTTGATTCTTCACTCTAATGTCCTTACTTCTCCAAAGATTACTCCTTCTCACTCTCTCTCACAAACTCATATGACTTTAGTAATTATTTTGGTGTAAAAACTCTGAGGTTTAAGCCTCTATTTATAGGCACAAATTGGAGAAACATCCAAATAGAGTGATTAAATGATCATAATATAAAATTTAACTTATAAACTTAAATAATCTTTAAAATATCTTATGATTTACTTATTCATCCATCCAAAGCATATTTAAACATCAAAAATGGCCTTTGGTTAAAGTCACAATCGAATTCTCAATAATCCAATTGGACTGTCGGCAACACGACTCGTGTGGGGGAGTCACACGACTCGTGTGGCCTCACACGACTCGTGTGCCTTGTCACACGACTCGTGTGGCTTGCCGACACTTTTTCTCTTAATCATTCATCATCTCACACGACTCGTGTAGCTAAGTCACACGACTCGTGTAGCCTCACACGACTCGTGTGGCTCATCACACGATTCGTGTCAAAATCCCGAGGCTAACTTTTATCACATCTCCCTCCCACACGACTCGTGTGCTTCTCCACACGACTCGTGTGTCTCTTCACACGACTCGTGTGGCTTGTTCCTTGAAAATTCTTAATTTCGGTCCGATAACTCACTATCTTGGACTCGAAATTACTTATTTCTTGGAACAATAACTCATAATAACTGAGATAACTGAAAGGGATATTACACTAGTCCTGCGCGGTCTAGTATTCGCGCCTTGCCTATTCCTATGAGGATTAGGCTTGCGCCCTTCGCTTGTGCGATCATCTCGCGCACTTCCCACGCGCCTTCTGCCTTGCGCGCCAAGTCGCGCGAATCAACCCTAGGCGGCATGGTATTCCTCGCCTACCAAGGACTCGTACCCGTCAGCCCTTGCGCGTCCTGCACGTCGCTGACCTCATCCTGCGTGTGCCCCATCGCGCCACGCACGCGCTCCGGCATCCGCGCGTCGTCCCGCTCGCGAGTGGTCGACACGAGAGCCTTCCTCCGATTGCTGACTTGCGAACTGCGCCCCTTGTCCCAATCGTCCATCGCTGGCTCGACCCCTGTGCCAGCCTCCTTTCGCTCACGACTTCGCCGCTCACATCTTTCGCGCCCTTTGCCTCTCGTGTGGTCGAACCGCACACAAGTCCTCTTTCGCGAATCGCCGGACCTCTTCGCTAAGTCCTCGTCATCGTCTCGCTGGACCGTCTCGCGCGTGCCCTTCTTTGCTCGACCTGGCCTCGCGCGGCTTGACCCTGCGTGCCTCGTCACGCGGTCCACGCGTATCGCTCGCCTAAGTGTTGTGTGACATACTCGTGCACAGCCATCACGAGCCACCTTCGCATAGTCTCGATATGTCGATCGGCTCAACCGCGTATGCGCCGACTTGTGTCGCGCACGTCTCCTCTCAGCGCATCCGTGTCGCACTTTCCTACGCCATTGCGCTCGTCTGCACCCTCGTATACGGGCTCGTACACGTCTCTTAGGCCATGCATGCATTGTTTTGGCCCTTTGCTCGGCCTTCTCGGGTCGTCTCGTCCCACGACCATGTGCATCCTCGGGCCTCGAAACCCACATTCTCATCACGCGGGCAGCAGCGCGCGGGCAGCACGTGATACGGATAGCACGTGAGACCCATTGGATATATTGATCCAAGAACCAAACGTATATGTAGGCAATAGAATCCCAGATCGGAGATCTAGTTTGATCGTACCTAGAGCTTGAAAACCTCGACCCGTTAGCTATATAAGCAGCTAGGAACCTCGGTATGGTGAACGCCACAAGATCTTGCTCAAGTATCTTGATAAGTTCTTAAAACAATTGAAACTCTACAAAAGAGAATTCAAACTCACAAAAGTGATTTTTAATATTCAGCAATATTCTTTATTTTCATTCAAACATAAAATGGCCTTTTTAAAGGCTACAAATTATGCTAATGAGTTAATCCCCTTTTTGGGACTCATTAAGCACTAAAAACATAGTTTTGACCACATAAATAAGATTACATGACTTTTGAATGATCCTTTGACTTCTAGGACAACTTAAGCAATATTCTGGTCTCAAAAATGCTGAAAATAGACAAAATAATGAACACTTCAATTGGGCTACATGACATGGACGAAATTAAGACTTCAATTCATAGATTAGTCTTTATGCGAACAATCTGGCCCATCAACTTGAAGAATATTCACCAATTTGCCTTCAGTCGGTGTTTCTTACGTCTTCTCTTGAAATTCAACAGTAAGACACTCGTGGCTTCCTTCATTTTACTAGCCATTTCCCTCATGATCAGCTCTGCATTTATTTTAAACAAATCAATCTTACTGTGAATGAAGAGCTTTGACCGAACCCCATCATTCCCTTCTTCTTCAAAATGATTCGTCCTCGAATCCAAAAGTATATAATTAGCATGCATTGGCACAACATCACATAGGACCTCTTCAAACTTTGGTGTCTTCTCCTTGTGGACCTCATCGACCTTCACCAAAACATCATCAATCTTGTCGTCCCAAATAGGAGAACCATCATACTCCAATGATTCTGGAACATCTTTGAACTCGTCTTCAACCAAATGTGGATCTTTGTACTCGGTTGACACGTGCTCGTCCACGAGTTTGGTAGCCTCCACATCTTCAGAGTATCCCGGAAACTCAAACAAGAATAAGTATTCCTTGCGCCTTTCATTGGAGATCCTACCTTCATTGCCCTTACCCCTAGAATTGCTCGATGGTGCCACGCCTCCACCTTGGGGCGTGTTGTCCACGTACAGCCCCCAGCTTCGCGCCTCTGTGCGCGTCTCCTTGTGGTTCGCCCAACGTACAGCGGCCAAGTACTCGGAAGATTTGGGTGGCAACTTGATCCTCATACGAAACATCTTTTTTTCAATCCGCTCCAAAGTTTGGAAACTTGATTGCAGAATATCCTTCCACTCCTTGTTGCACATTTTTTTTAGTACTTTTTTTTTTCGAACGAACAGAATTTTCTCTCTTTTTTTTGTAACAATCCTCGTAGAAAAATACAAGGATTTTTTTTTCGTTTTGTTTTTTTTTCAACACAAAGATTGATAAAAGAAGATAAAAATCAGATCAATACCAGATTGCTCTGATACCAAACTGATACGGATAGCACGTGAGACCCATTGGATATATTGATCCAAGAACCAAACGTATATGTAGGCAGCGGAATCCCAGATCGGAGATCTAGTTTGATCGTACCTAGAGCTTGAAAACCTCGACCCGTTAGCTATATAAGCAGCTAGGAACCTCGGTATGGTGAACGCCACAAGATCTTGCTCAAGTATCTTGATAAGTTCTTAAAACAGTTGAAACTCTACAAAAGAGAATTCAAACTCACAAAAGTGATTTTTAATATTCAGCAATATTCTTTATTTTCATTCAAACATAAAATGGCCTTTTTAAAGGCTACAAATTGTGCTAATGAGTTAATCCCGTTTTTGGGACTCATTAAGCACTAAAAACATAGTTTTGACCACATAAATAAGATTACATGACTTTTGAATTACCCTTTCACTTCTAGGACAACTTAAGAGATATTTTGGTCTCAAAAATGCTGAAAATAGACAAAATAATGGACACTTCAATTGGGCTACATGACATGGACGAAATTAAGACTTCAATCCATAGATTAGTCTTTATGCGAACAATCTGGCCCATCAACTTGAAGAATATTCACCAATTTGCCTTCAGTCGGTGTTTCTTACGTCTTCTCTTGAAATTCAACAGTAAGACACTCGTGGCTTCCTTCATTTTACTAGCCATTTCCCTCATGATCAGCTCTGCATTTATTTTAAACAAATCAATCTTACTGTGAATGAAGAGCTTTGACCGAACCCCATCAGCACGCGTGATGAAGATCGCGTGTCCCGATTGTCGATAAGCCACAAACCAGTGCCTTGAATCGCTGATAGGTGTCTCGAGGTTTGCACAACCGCACCCCTTGAAATGATAAAATTGCAAAAGAAATTGAAAAGATATCTAAGGCAAAGTGTTTGAACAAAAGTTCGGTTTTTCTATTAATTTCTGAATGATTCCAAAATAACAAGAGGAAGGGCCTTTATATAGGCATCAAATAGATCTATTCCTAATCTAGTTATAACTCTAATAAACCAATAGAATATTAAGTATCCTAAACAATCTAGAAATCATAATGGAATAAGGAAACCAAATAACTAAGGGATCTTGGAAAGCCTTGACTTGCACTCCAAGTAGGGAAGAATAATCTAGAGAAGTTTCAACTCAAAAGACTCCTAGAAGCCTTGGTTTCTTGCTGGCCAAGTTGTCCCCGCGCGCTGCCTCTGGCAGGCCATGAAGGTCGCGTGTCCCGATTGCCGATAAGCCACAAACCAGTGTCTTGAATCGCCGATAGGTGTCTCGAGTTTTGCACAACCGCACCCCTTGAAACGATAAAATTGCAAAAGAAATCGAAAAGATATCTAAGGCAAAGTGTTTGAACAAAAGTTCGGTTTTTCTATTAATTTCTTGAATGATAAAAAATAACAAGAGGAAAGACCTTTATATAGGCACCAAATAGATCTAGTCCTAATCTACCTATAACTCTAATAGATGGAATATATCTAATCCTAATGCAACTCAATCACTAATTAAAGCAATAAAATATTAAAGTCCTAAACAATCTAGAAATCATAATGGAATAAGCAAACCAAATATCTAAGGGATCTTGGGAAGTCTTGACTTGCACTCCAAGCCAAACATCCCAACCCTAATCTCGCCGCCTCACGCCTCAACCGTACGCGCGCCTTGCCTTAGTCCTCGAGGATTAAGGTCGTGCCGCCCGTCCCCGCGCGTGCTTCCCCGCTGCGCGCTCCGCTCGTTTCGTCGCGCCCAGCGGACTCCTCGCGCGCGTTACTACCACCCGTAACCTCCTCGCGTGCGTCCCTTGCGTCGCGCGCGTCCGCGCCACTCACCTCACTCCTCGCGACCGCATTTCGCCCACGCGCTAGCTTCGCGCTCTCTTCTACCGGATCCCCCTCGCCGACCACGCTTGCCCCGCACGCGATGGCTTGCGTCTCACCCGCCTGTCGTGCTAACCTCTTGCGCGCGTGATAGGCCCGGCTCGAGGCATTCTTGAGCTGCCTAGCCACATCCGCATCATTCCCGTCCCCTTCAAGTGCTTCCTTGTCCTCAAGGATGAAATCAGGGAACTGCTCGCGCATTTCATCTACATCCTCCCATGTAGCCTCCTCCGATGGCAATTCTTCCCACTCGACTAACACCTCCCAACGGTAGCGCCCCGCCTTCCTTACTTGGCGATATTCGATCGCACGGCTAGGCCTAACAATGGCCCGCCCATCCGTTGCCGTCGCGGGAAGCTCTTCGCACCACTTGTGCGCCTCTCCTAAACTTCTTTTGAGCTGCAAGACGTGTATGACTGGATGGATGTGCGAACTCTCTGGTAACTCTAGGCGATAAGCTACTTGCCCTATGCGCTTCAAAATTTGGTAGGGCCCGTAATAGCGTACCCCGAGCTTCGTCGCAGCCCTTTGCGCCGTCGTTCGCTGCCTAAAGGGCCGCAGCTTCAAATAGACGTACTCGCCTGGCTCAAAACTCTCTTCGCGCCTTTTGCCGTCATGAAAGGTTTTCATGCGGTTAATCGACCCTTCGAGCGTTCTCTTCAGCTCGCGCAACATTAAGTCCCTCTCCTCAAGTTCTCGTCCTACTTCATCGTTGATGGCAACTCCTTCCGAATAATTTACGAGTGTAGGTGGTTTGCGCCCGTATACCAACTCGAATGGTGTAGCCTTGGTCGACTCATGGTAAGTGGTGTTGTACCAATACTCGGCCCATGGTAGAAAGCTCTCCCACTTCCTCGGAAATTGGTGCACATAGCATCGCAAGTATTGCTCTAGCGTGCGGTTAGTCACCTCGGTTTGGCCATCCGTCTGCGGGTGATAGGAAGAGCTCATTGATAGCTTGGTCCCTTGAAGTTTGAAGAACTCAGACCAAAAGCTACTCATAAAAATCCGGTCACGATCAGAGACAATCGAGCGTGGCACCCCATGCAACTTCATGACGTACTCAATGAAGAGCTTGGCGATAGACTTTGCCGTGTAGGGATGCGTGATTGGTATGAAGTGTGCGTACTTCGTTAGTCGATCGACCACGACCGTGACTCCATTGAACCCGTTAGAAATAGGCAATGCCTCAATGAAGTCCATGGTAATATCTTCCCAAATGTTCTCGGGTACGGGCAAAGGCTGTAATAGTCCACCCGGTCGCCGGGCGTCCACCTTAGTGCGTTGGCAATCGTCGCAGTGCGCGACGTACTCCCAAACCGCTCCCTGCTGCCCTGGCCAAAAGAAGGTATTGGCCATCCTCATCCAAGTACGGTAGAACCCCGAATGTCCTTCAATTTTCGAGTTGTGGAAGTACTGCAAAATTTGCTCGCGGAGTTGCCCGCTATCCAGGACAAACACTCGTCCTCGATGTAGCACGAGACCATTATGCAACTCGTAGTTGGCAACCGCCGCATCTCCTGCCTCTATGGCTCGCAGCAAGTCTTGACATTGGGTGTCGCCTTCTTGCGCCCTCCTTATTTCCTCCCATATCGCCCATGTTGGCCCGGTTATGGCTTCGAGCTCAGCAACGTCCGTCCGTCTCGACAGGGCATCGGCCACAGCGTTTTGTCGACCCGGCCTGCACACTATCTCGAAGTCGAAGCCAATAAGCTTTGAGACAAACTTTTGTTGTTCGGGCGTCACGATCCTCTGTTCGAGTAAGTGCTTGAGCGGTTGTTGATCGGTCACGATCCGAAAGCGTCGCCCTAAGAGATAGGGCCTCCAGCATCGTACCACCTCTACGACTGCGAGCATCTCCTTCACATACACGGACAATCCTAGTCGGGTCGTGCCAAGGGCCTTGCTAAGGAAGGCTCCTGGACTAGCACCGCACCAATGCCCACATCACTCGCGTCCGTGTGCACTTCAAACAACACATCGAACCTTGGCATGGCTAGAGCAGGCGTCGAGGTCATCGCACCCTTAAGCTTCTCGAATGCAGCCTCACTTGCTTCGGTCCACTTGATCCGCCCTTCTTGGTCATCTCGGTTAATGGTTTGGCAATGGACCCATAGTCCTTCACGAACTTCCGGTAGTAACCTGTGAGCCCTAGAAAACCCCTTAACCGCGTCAGGCTGGTTGGTTTCGGGCAATCGACCATAGCCTCAATTTTCCTTGGGTCGACCTTCACACCATTATGTGAAATAAAATGACTAAGATATTCGACCATTTCTTGTCCAAACGAGCAGTTGGACGGCTTGATATGAAATGAGTTGGTCTCCAAGATCTCGAGCACCATTCGTAAGTGCCCAATATGTTCGGCCCATGTCTTCGAGTAGACCAAGATATCGTCGAAGAATACTAAGACGAATTTGCACAGATGGTCCTTGAAAATGGAATTCACGGAAAATTGAAAGGTGGAAGGAGCGTTGCATAGCCCGAATGGCATCACCAAATACTCGTAATGTCCTTGATGCGTACGGAAAGCTGTCTTGGGAACATCAGCTTTGTGGAGTCGAATCTGATGGTACCCGGCCCTTAGATCGAGTTTAGAGAAATAACGTGATCCTCCTAGCTCGTCGAGCATATCGTCGACACTCGGTATAGGAAAACGATCCTTGATAGTCGCGGCATTCAGTGCACGGTAGTCGGTGCAGAACCTCCACGTCCCGTCCTTTTTCTTGGCTAGTAGCACCGGTGACGAGAATGGGCTTGAGCTGTGCTGAATTAGCCCGGACTCGAGCATCTCACCAACTTGCCTTTCTATTTCGGTCTTCTGGAAGTGCGCATACCGGTATGGATGGACGTGTACCGCATGCTGCTCATTGACCAAGGGTATT